GGGGGGGGATGCTGGGCTCACCTGGCCTGCTCTCCACAAACTGGCTGAAGGACTTCAGCTGCGTCTTCCTGACCGCCGACTCCTTGTTGAACACCACCGGGTTGCGCAGTCGCTCCGCAGCCCTGCGCAGACGTTCTGCCCGCAGCTCGTCCACGTTATTCTTTAAAATACAAAAAAAAAAACCAGAGGTTAAATAATAGCATCTGGGGTGTGATAAGAGGTTCTGCAGTAGGTGCTTCTAGTCATCTGCCCCAGTCAGGGTGGGCATGGGGGGGCAATCTCAGCCAAACAGGCACCCCCTCAACCCCACCAGAAAAATGACGGCTTTCCGACGTCATTTTACATGTGTGACACCGAATGGCCTTCAGCTTGGATGCGGGCAGCTGGTTACGAGTTTTTTTTTTTTTTCTTTTGGGGCGGGGTATGTAGGCATAAAAGCTCTCAATACAGCAGCTTACGCACCCCCACCCCAGCCCAAGGGAGGATCCCCCCCAGCCTCCTTATGTCAGCATTCAAAGATAGATAAACCAAATTCAAAAGGTAGCAGTAGGCCGCCAGAAGTAGCCCCTCCCATCCCAGAGGACGTGCCCCAGTAATACCCCACTAGCCAGTCCAGCTGCCCCGTGGCGACCCCGGCCGGCCCTGGAACCCGCTGATACGGCTCCCCCATCCCCATCGCGATAAGGCCGGCCCCGCGTCCCCCCAGCCCCTTCATCCATTATCATGATTATCACCGCCATTGTTGCCCCTCTTTCTGGGCGGTGTCGCCGGAGCGAGACAGGCCGGGCCCCCGGGATGCGTGACTAATGGCGCAGCCCGCTGAACGTCGCAGGCGGTTATCAAGCGACACCGAGGCAGTGGCCTTCCGCCGCATACAGACAATCGCTAATGAGCTTCCCATGCCCCCCCCCGCCGCCTCAAGGAGCTCTGGGATGCTCTGCCCTCACGATTGGCCAGAAGGCTTTATCCTCCTCCCGTGAAGGCTTCATTTGCGAAAGCAAGCGTACGGCCTAAAGCCCGCTTTCCTCCTGTTAGCAGAACAGGAAGCAGGAATGAAGCAGAAATATGTAGAAGTGTATTAAAAAAAACAACAACAGACAAACCAACAAACAAACAAACAAACAAACAAACAAACAAACAAACAAACAAAAGACCAACATGAACCTAAATCAGGCAGAGGAGATATTTATTTAAATCAGTTCGTTAAAGACGCACCAACGCAGAGCCTGACAAGCCTACACAAGCACTTTCCCCCACACTCAGCTTTTAGGGCGAGAGCCTCATTTGTTCATAAACCATCTTTACAAGGATCCTCCAGTAGACCCAGTGGTCTGGTGCACCTACATCCAGTGCCTGGGCCGCAAGACAGGGATCAGGATGTCAAAGGACTCTGAAGCCCCTTACGAAAGGCATGTCCCTGACTGCTGTGCTAACCATCCTCAGACGACGTAGAACAGGTTGGAGCCCACACTAATGAGGTACGGGCCGGGTTTGCTGCAGCCTTTTGAAGTTTGCCGATTTCAGAACAGGCAACTACACCCATCACACCGTTACTCTCCTGTCTAGACACATGTTGACACATAAGCTGCTTGGTGTGAGGCCAGTTTTACCAAACATCCCAATATTCTTAATGTCCCAAAATTGTTTTTCAGGTTTTTCCATTCCTGTTCTGTGTACTTTAAATTTATTTGCACCACATTTACTTGTTTGCACTGTGTGTCGCCCATGTTGCTCTATATGTATGGTTCGTCTTGTATGGTTCGTCTTGTATGGTTCGTCTTGTATGGTTCGTCTTGTATGGTTCGTCTTGTATGGTTCGTCTTGTATGGTTCGTCTGTGCTCTATGTTCTTGCTCCCCCTGTGATCGGCAAAGTCCATTTTAACTGTAAAGACGCAGAAGAGAGAATGGTTACCTGGAGGCCATCGGAATCAGGTCCCTCTCCCAGGCCCCATGGCTCGGGGGTGGTGCTCGCAGGGGGGGTTGAGTTCGCGGTCTGCAACCGCACGTCCAGAAGCCTCTTCAGCTTTAGGTCTATGTGCTTGCTATTCTGCGCACCTGGAGATGGGGAGCAGAGAGAAACGTCCACTAGGGAATTGCATAGAGATGTCCAGCGACACAGCACGGCACCATGGGAGCGATGGAATGGAAACCACGCGGATCAGGGGACTAGGAATCCCGAACAAGAGCCATTTATCAGAAATTAAAGATGGTTACAGTCCGAATAAGTGGTCTGGGGGCATCCAACAGCAGCGACCATGTGACCAAGTCATCATAGTTAAGAAAAAACCTAAGTCTAAAAGATAGCAGGAATAGTAACCACACTCGTTAGGGACCAGGACACATGGTGGATTATTCATGGAGGAATGTCGGGAAGGAGAATAAGGATTGACAGGGACCTGACCAGCCATGCCAGTCAGTGGGATCTGACACCCTACTGGCAATTCGGGGGGGGGGGGGGGGGGGAGGTTATTTAAAAACAAAAAACAAAGTAAAAATAGAGAGATTCCAAACAAAACAAAAAACAGACAACTTGCACATATTGTACATAAAATATAGGAAAATATTTCATCCTTGCACGTTTCTCAATGCAAAAAGATCTGTAGATATGAATTAGGTCTGGCAAAGACATTAAATTAAATCAATAAAACAAATGAAACAGAAGTCAGTGTAATAAGGGCTTCTACATGCTAGGAAGAGACAAGGAAACAGGCAACACCCTCCCCAGACAGATACACACGCCCCCCTCCCCTCGCCAGGCCCTTTCAGATGAGAAAAAATGGAAGATGGGAAGCCAAAACATCATGCGACAGCTGTAGGACATGTGCTTATTGGAAGGGGAAAGGATGGTGAAGTGATCACATGGGGCAGGTCACATGACACAGGAGAGGCAGCCAGCTCATGCAGCAAGCATGTGACGAGTCATTTACCAGGAAACACACAGTCCCTGTCTGGGTTAGTAAGATCATCCCCTTCAGCAAAGGACAGGCCAGAAGCTTCCACGGGGTTAGTATCTAAAACAGCATCTGCATCATCATCATCATCCTCCTCATCCCCATCATGAACATTATTCTGTTCTTCGCCAGCACTCCCTTTTTCCTCCAAATCTGCAGCAACAGAGAAACCAGAGAGCCACCTGAAGACTGAGAGAGGAGAACAGCGGGCAGGTTAGCTCCAGCCCTATCGCACGCTACTGAGCAGCTCGCCATGTGTTAGTCAGCATACTGTAAGCGCATTTCACACCCATTTTACACTGAAACCAAATGTCAGAGATCCACATGTTGATATTAAGTCAGCTGAATGTAGGTCTTGTTCACAGCTCAAAACCAAGGAAATAAAACTTGGAAAGCAAAGCGGATGAATACCTTGATGTGCCACTTTTTCCAAAGGGTTTATAAAAGCTTGATCTTCCAAGTGAACGAGTCACGATAAATCCAGTTCCTACCAAAGAGACTGGCTCCCTGGTATTTTGTGAGGTAACGCTAATTAACCAAATGCGCTGTGACTCGTGAATGTCTGTTGGTGAGCAGGCTACCATCCCAGAATGCCGTGCTACGACCCATGAGAGGAACACCAGACAGCAGAGATTACGCATTCTATTCTACTCTGCTTGTCAAGTGAATCCAACCTATAGTCCTCTCCCTCATGCCGCCCTTTAACGAGGTCCAAAATTAATGAAAATCAAAACCCAAAATGACAGAGAGGACCATACTGCCAGCCACAAAATACTAGTTTCCTCGCAGCCTTTGCTCTCCCCGACAATTTTTTTTTGTGTGGTATTGATTGGTCCAAAGACTGAGGTGTGAGTCCATTACACGATAAAAAAATGCAAATAAATACAGAGAAGATGCAGTCTGAAAAAAGAGACAGTATTAGTAATGCATATAAATACTGGCCAAATTCATTAAGTTTAAAGTTTGAGTGAATTCTCACTTATTCTGCTGACCTAATTTATTTTTAGCAGATAAATTAATTTCCAAAAAGTGCAGAAATTAATTATTTCAATTGCAGTCTGAGTCAGCAGAAGTGCAGAGCTCGGCTTTGGCTGGGTTCGACGGCCCGTTCCCCCGTGTTCGCAGGTCTAGCAGAGGCCTGCAGAACATCATGAAAACGGTTCCATTTCGTGCCAGTAAATGGTTGCAGTCGTGAAGATGCAGAAATGGCAGAAATGACCCCCCCCATTTCGTCATTTAATTTGACAGGATGAAGCAAGAGCACCTTACAGGCAAGCAAGCCGTCCACGCACTGGTGTGTACGTTGTGTTTACGTTTGTGCGGTACGTGCCGGTGTGTGCTTGCTCAGGGTGAGCACGTGTGCCGTCTCTGTGTGTGGTACGGGTGCCCTCACCTCCAGCGGGCCGCAGCCGCGCCCTCAGCCTCTCCGCCCCGGTGTCGCCATAGAGAGGCAGCTCCGCCATCCGCACGCCCGACCGCGCCTCTGCAATGAGCTGCCGGGCTCGCTCCCTCAGCTGCCGGCGCCTCTCCTCGTCCCGCTCCTGCGAAAGCCGACACCACAGTGGCGGTGAGTTCCCACCTCAAACTCCCGCCAGTCTCTCCGGGGCTCATTTTCACACTGCGTTTTCATTGGTCGAGGCAACGGCATTTAATAAAGGGCCAGTTGCGGCACTTTAAAATAACTTCATTATGACAATAGGAGAGGCTGTATAACAATCTAACATGCCTCACAAGAGAGAGCATTAGACTTGATCAGATATATCATTTTTAACGACCAGTTTTAGTTTCAGTGGAAACAGGATAGCAGTACTGGGTATTTCCTGTGGATACTGGGGTTAGAATTCTACTACAGAAGAAGGATCATGGTGTATCAGGGGGGCCGATTATGACAGAAATGACTCCCCCTGAAGTACCTGCACTAGCAGTGCTCAATGATCTTCTGCCCCCATTAAAAGCTCCCTAATACGCAAAAAGGCCCCCAAGCACGCGGGGGCTCTGATCGTTATCATTCTGCCCGTTGGGGAAAATCTGCATTTTTAACTATGCGTATTCTATAATGCTGATGGCTCCTCCGCTCTGTAGGATCCCTGCAATCCAGCTTAAGAATCATCCATTAACAAAACAAACCAAGAGGAAAAAAAGAAAAACTAATTAGGCACATTTCCTCCATTGCCATGCAAACAGTCTGTTTGTGGCCATTGTCTAAGCACACAATGAGCCGAAATGTAAATGAGACCACTGGGTACATCCTCCTCATAGCGGGCTGTTTATAGCCATAAGCCCAGGGGCTGGAGGTCAATTATCAGGGGGTCTGAGGCCAATCTAAAGCTTCGCATAGGGCGTGTTACAGAAAAGCAAGTAAAACCGCTCCGGAGGGTGGGCGGAGCCTGACAGGCCCCTGTCTCGCGGCCATATCTGTGGACACGGTCCAGGTCTGTAAGCGTGCATGTATGTGGACAAGTCCGAACACGAACTTGCTGGTGTGTGCGTGTGTGTGTGCGTGCGTGTGTGCGCGCACAGGGACACAAGTGCATATAGGTGGGGGGTGTGAGAGATCACCACTCCCACCAGAATTATCACTCTAGGGCACGAGTTCCTCAGTCTCACCTGTTAGCACAAGCCACACAAAACACTGAACTTAAGTAAAAAAAAAAACGAGCGAATGATTCAAAGGCGTCTGTGATGCACACAACGAATCGAACAGCTAGAAAAAAAAACACAACAAAAAAATTAATTAATTAGAAGCACTTGCCCAGAGGGAAACATGCTCTTATTCACAGGAATTAACATTGAGCCAGTGTGTGTGGATATACCCTTTTTATTAATTAATGTATTCTTTTTTATTTCTTATTATTTGTCCAACAGCTTTGCCCTCAGAACCACTTTTGTTATTCTAAAACCAATCTAGGGTGGGTACCAGTCATTGTCTGACATGCCCCATAATCATAGCAAACAGAAGCTTTAAATCCAGCCAGTAAATGCTGCACAAACAGGACAAAGGTTTTCCAGCTTAGCAAAGTGTCTTTTTCCAGCACGGAGAATATCTGTTGATGCTTCAGTCTAGCTGCCGTTACCACCTGGCAACTATATCCGCAAACCCCGGCCCTCCCTCTGCTTCAGAGGGGTGTATCGGTGACGAGAATGTGACGTTTCACATCAAAGGAGCAATAATTGGAGGGAAAAAAAAAAACTACCCTAACTCTGCCCATTTCCTCAAAGTACACCCTCTCATTCGGCAGTCAGCCCATCAATCAGGTGCTAATTAACATTAACACCCAATCAGGCAGCTAGACAGGGGATATATCCCAGTGATGGCCCACTCACAGGCAGACTGCAGCGAAAGTAAATAAAAATGAGTGACAGCAGGAGCAGGGAGAGCCCCCACCCCCCAACTTATCACCCCTCGCCAGACAGCGGACCCGGATCAATGCGAGCGCGCCGAGATCGATGCATTTGATAAAGAAAACTGTACACGTTATCAAAGGGGTTGCAAACAGGAATAATTACGCTTCTGAAAATCGCATGGCGACGACACTGCAAAGGGCGATAATGAAACCTGATAGCGAGGGCTGGCGTGAAGGCTAAAGCACCAACACTGGCATCAGAAATCCCAGGGGGGGGGGGGGGGGGAAAAAAAAAAAAAAAAATCCCAGGGGGGGGGGGGGGGGGGGGGGGGTAAAAAGTAATAATTAATAACATTTAACTGCTCACTTTTATTAAGTGTCGGGAATAAGAGTACTGGTCAGACTTGTCCTTCAGGAAGATGACATTTAAATGTCAAACGCGGTAATTAAAATCTCAGAGTTTTGGTGGGGGAGGGGGCATGTAAATAAGCAGAGTTATGTGGTACACAGTCTCAGTATCAGCGCAGCCAGTCACCACAGTAAGGGAGCCCAGCACAGGCGGACACAGGCCAATCAGTATCTGCATGGGGGGCAAGGGCAACCATCTACAGTTTAGTTAGCCCACCCTCAGATGGGCGACGGCAGGCTGTATACGAATGTGTAATGGGAGGATAAACGTTTGTGAGCATGTGTGTCTGCGGGCAATCTGATGCCGGGACCAAAGGTGCACATACGGCATCTTAATGGAATGGCTTCTCTGCCTTCGAGGATGATACTGGAAGGATGGTCTAGAACCGGCCAACCAGCTGCACCAGAGAGCCAGCAAGGAGGCCGGTTTACGCCGGAATGGGATGCCTAAGAACTATGCCAGCCGGGACTACAGCTGTTATTTTTAATAAGCCCAGACATAACCCTGCCCAATAAAAGGAATTTCAAAGTATAACACGAGAATGATTAATCTACAGTCACTGGCCACTTTATTAGGTACACCTCGCTAGTACCAGGTTGGACCCCCCCTTTTGCCTTCAGATCTGCCTTAATTCTTCGTGGTGTAGATTCAACAAGGTGCTTGAAACATTCCTCAGATATTTTGGTTGATGTTGATATGATAGGATCACAAAGATGCTGTATATCTCTCAGCTACACCTTCATGACGTGAATCTCCCGTTCCACCACATCCCATAGGTCAGGGCTATTCAATTCAGGCCCTCGATTCCAAATCCAGGCCTTGTTTTCAGTTCTCCCAGGTAGTTAGTTTAATAATTACTGATTCTGATTGGTCAGAGGCTTCACACCTGGCTCACAGGTGATGGATGGCTGGAAAATCAGCAGGATTCGGCCCTTGAGGACCGTGAGTTGAATAGCCCTGCCACAGGTGCTCTATGGGGATAAGATCTGACGACTGTGGGGGCCATTTGAGTGCAGTGAACTCATTGTCATGTACAAGAAACCAGTCAGATGATATGAGCTTTGAGACATGGCGTGTTTTCCTGCTGGAAGGAGCCATTAGAAGCTGGGTACACTGTGGTCATAAAGGGACGGACATGGTCAGCAACAATACTCTGTGGCATTTAAACGATGCTGAATTGGTACTAAGGGGTCCAAGGTTTGCCAAGAAAATATCCTCAAAACTATTACACCACCAGCCGGAATTGCTGATACAAAGCAGGATGGATCCATGTTTTCATGTTTACAGCAAATTCCGACCCTAGCATCTGAATGCTGCGGCAGAAATCAAGACTCATCTGACCATGCAACGACCGTGCGTGAAAATCCCAGTACATCAGCAGTTTCTGAACTACTTCTACCAGCCGGTCTGGCACCAACAACCGTGCCACATTCAAAGTCACTTAAATCTGCTGTCTTCCCATACTGGTTGTTTGATGTGAACATTAACTGAAGCTTCTGACCTGTATCTGTGTGATTTCATACATTGTATTTATAGCAGGGGGGCATGCACAGAGGACACATTTCACTGTTGTGCACTGTGCGCTGTGATGTGTCAACAATGACCACTGATCACCAAATTTTAAATATGACTGGCTGACGACTGGCAGTTGAACAGGCGCACATTAAGAAAAAGTGGCCAGTGAGCGTAGAAATGGATAAACTGTATAAATGGATAAACTGTATAAAAGGATAAACAGCAGCAGCAGGGTTTTCAACAAGGGACAAAAGAGTGGAGATAGTGGAGGGCTGGGGGCGGTTTGAAAGTCAGTGACGGCCTCACACCAAAGGTTACCAGCACTTAGGAGGTCAGGATGGTGGGTGAGCGTGCGAGTGTGTGATGGGGGGGAAAGAAAAGGTCTCGTCGGCAAACATCAAACATGGCCCAATTAAACTAATCATCACAGCCCAGTGAGCAGGAGGAAGCTCACCTGGCCCTGCCTGCGCTCCAGCATGCCCCCCCCCCCCCAACAGCACCAGAGGCACTAGCTGCTGTAATTACCCTGGCTAAGTGTCAGCAAGACACTTTCCCAAGACAGGCCCTTTAAATGTACAGAAACACATTAATAAAAACACAGGACCTAAATCAAAGGCAAGTTCTAACAGTGAAGCCAGGGGCAGCAGGCCGAATTACGATGGAGAGCTACAGCACATATTTATGGGGGAGGGGGAGCAAATGAGGGAATTTTTTTCAGGCTAAAGTCGGAGGAAAAAAGTGGGGTGAAGGTTAAGGGGGCACTGGGGCTTGTTTTTTTGTAACTGTTCACTAATTACAGATTTTCTTGTTGCGGGGGGGGCGTGACATTAGAGGGAATGAGGCTAAGAGTCCTAATAGGGTACGAAGCCCACCTACGAGGCTCAGTTCAGACCAAAGTATAAAACAATTAGCTGCCGAGGCCGCAGAGGGCCCCCGCGCCCGGGCGCTCAGCGAGAGGGCAGGGCGGGCGACGCGGCACAATTAGCGAGGCTAAGGAGCTACGCGCCAGGGACGCCCACTAGGAACCCTGCCTTCTCTCACCACCATCAAACCTCAAAAGATCTGCCTTCTGAGGATGATCTGCAGGTGTTTGAGCACCAAACTGCTGGTCACCACCCTGTCTGTTACAGTGACCCTACAGCCCAGCTTTGATCTCCCATCTTCTCTGCCCTAAAACACCCACTTGAATCCTCCATCCCAGGAACACGACACTTAAAGCTAAAGCTTACAACCACAGACAACCCCTCCCACCGCTGCCCGCACCCTCGATTCACCCCCCACCATCTCCCCCTCCCTCAGACATTACATCCATTGTCCTAAGACAATGAAGTTAGATATAATTTAATTAAATCATTTCTTATGCATGCTAAACCACAAGTGTTGGCTACTTAGAGGGACACTGCGCAGTTAGCCTGCTCGCTCAGTTCCAACAATCAAAACAAGACGATCGACTAATCTAATCTAAATCGCCCACAATTATTGGACGAGAGGGGTGGGGGTCCCTTTGACTGACATGTCCTAATAAACCTGAAAGATGGGATCTTGTGTGGTGTTAACTGCCTCATTAGCAAGGCGTCCTTGACAGCGAAGTGCCCTGCATGACATCACAGCCCTGCGTGGGAATGGCAGACTGAGCCTGCTACCACACGGGGGCGATGCAGAGCACACTATTGCGGTCCAGCAGCCCACGTGAGGGGCCAGGAGAGAGTCTAATCTCATTCAGCTTTTGAGGGTTACACACAAATCTGGCATGAGCCAAGATCTAGGCCTGCTGGCTTCCACTTCAGGGAAAACAGCAGCATCTTCAATGCAAATAACCTTTCAAATCTCTACTTTTTATGTTTTTAGATCAGCAAAAGGAAACAAGTTACTTTCGAGGATGGAACCCAGTTAACACAAAATCCAGTAACGCTGATCTACTGTAAAAAAATAAATAAAAATGCGTCAGAAGCATAGTTCTCAAACAATCCTTCAAACTCTCGATGTACATGTCACGCAATGTGCATAGAGATATAATTGGGTTAGACAACAGTGCTTTACTATGAGGTGTGGAGAGGCCAGCAAATACTCTTAGTGAAAGGTCCCTCCCTAGACAAAGTTACAACAGGGAACTGGGGGAGGGGGGCGGCAAACAGTCGCCTTCACACTTGGAAGGCTTCCGTGCTCCACTTCCTCACTCTCTCTCATGCACAGAGACTCCCAGCTTCACAGGAGCCTGATGAGCCCGCTGTCACCCTCCCCCCTCCCTTTGCCAGTGGCACCACGTGCCGCCTCCAATCCGAGGGGCTCGTCACTGGAGGCTCGGTGCTTAATGGCACATTAGGCTAATGACTGTAATGGCTGGCGGCTGCAGTGCGGTGCACATTAAGCGTGACAGTAGCGTATGCGCAGGGCCTTTCTGCCCGCCCCCCCAGCGGAGAAAACGCGGCCGACTCCCCCTCCCGAATACGACTGGGACTAGTGCACTGGCACCCGGTGGGAGGAGCCGGGCCACACACAAGCTCCCAGTACAGACTCCCGGTGCAGACTGGTGTGTGGTGCACGGGTCACGCACTCACGTCGACAACGTGCGTGGGCCGTGGGGGGGCGCCGGACAGTGTGGCGATGCCCGGCTGCTTGCTGCTGGCCTTCATGGCGGCGTCGCGCCGAGCCTGCTCCAGGAGAAGCCGGGCCCTTTCCTTCAGCTCCTCCTGGCGGGACTGCGCCTTCTGCGGGGGCAGAGAGGAGGGAGGGCATCGTGGGACCACGCCCGTCAGCACAAGTGGACCTGGAACTGGTAAAACCTGCAAAGAAGCTCCAAACTACTCCGCCAGATAGAAACAGTGAGAAATACATAATTTCCAACCATGCCTCCTTCAACAGCTTTTGCACTGACCCACCTCATCTCAATCATTTGTCTAATTACAAAAAATTGAAGTTTAAAACCCCTCAAGCCCCATTTTTTGTAACTGGAAAATTTATTAACTAATTGGGGGAGGGGAGGAGGGAGTCTGAACCACCGCAGTTTTATCATCCAAAAGCTCCCCTAAATACCATCCGATTAGTTTTGTCATCACGCATGCCATTTCTTGAAGGTGTTTTTCTTTGATTATTTATTATTGTAAATGCCGCAGAGGGAATTTTATCTTAGAGGGAACTTTGTAGGCTTGAGAGTCTAAGAACCAATACAGTGCTCTGTGGTTCCGCCAGACTCACCTTCTCCTCGGAGACATTCGTCACGGCGACGGGCGTCACCTCCTGAAACAGAAAGTCCCGGCAGGGTGGGACGGGGGGGGGAAGTTCTGTCAGAGCCAGAAGTTTTCATTTCCTGCAGTGCCATGGCCTGTATCTTGATGTTTTGGCACAGAAATGTGGAATGTTGCTATTTATGAAAAAAAAATATCCATCCCTGGCTCATGGAACTCACTGCCGAGGTAAATGACGGCTGGCGTGAGATAGCCCCCTCCCCCCAACTCTGGGGGCCACTATCAGCCAGTCCATCGGCAGTAATCCACGCACAGGTGCGGCTGTGGGACGCCTGCGGGACACGCGGCCTACAGATGGAGCAGATTCATTCTGCAGCCGCGCTTCACGACTCGGGAGTGACATAGGATAAATCCATCGAGGCTTTAAGCTTATCGCCGACGTGACTCGGGGATCTAAACGCTCAGCTAACAAGCAGCCTTCGATCGGGGGACGGGGAGTCGAGCTCCTATAAATGTTGATGAAAACATTACTGGGAGCTGAGAAGTAAAATATCACCCAGTTTAGGCATTTTTAATATTTTTTTGTCTCTGAGCGAGACTCTACACCCCGAGTTTTTCTGTGATGACACTTGTCGGGATTACTTGCATCTGGGAAATTACCCCACCCTATTAGCTGGCCTGCTGAGTCACTCACATCCGGGAGATTACCTGCGCACTGCGCTGCCCGTCGACTTGCTGCTGCACCTGGCCCTGTCCGTCACCCGCAGGCTCCGCCCCCATGTGATGCAGGCCCACCCACTTCGGCTTCATAAGCTCGGCATCTTTGTTGTAGGAGAGGCCCAGCTTTAGCGGCGACGACGGTGCTGCCCTCTGGGCGGGTGAGCCGGGCTCCGCACCCTTGCCATTCGCCTCCCCCAGTCCCCCTCTCCCCCTCTCCACCTGGCTCCCAGGAAAGGTCACTTCCGGAACCGGCTTGTCCTCCGCAGCCCTCGGCTGCTGGTTTCCCTGATCCAAGGTCTCCCCCTTCGGCATCCTTGGCACTGGATGGGGTTGCGGTAAATCAGCACCGTCGCTCCCTCTGCCGCTAGCCAGGGAACCAAGAGCCGGCACGGGCTCGGCACAGAGGTCAGAGGTCCTGGCCTGAGGGGCCGATGAGGGAGTTTCGACGACAGAGACGGAGCTTTGCGGGGGTACAGTGGAGGTCCGCTCGACACTGGGCTCTCCTGCGGACACGGTTGGCAGAGACGCGGCCGTAGCCGGGATGAACGGCACAGACTCCTCGCCGACCTGGCCAGGCCCGTCGACGGTGCTGCCGGCAGACTGCGCATCACTGTCCCGCCTCAGGTCATTCAGCTCGGCGTAGAACTTGTCCTGCCCGACGGAGCTGTCCGTGTCAGTCTCAAAGTCGCCCACCTTGTATGTGCTGCGGCTGCTGTTGGCCTCAATCTGCACCACGTTGAGCTCCTCGCCACTGAAGTGCGCCCGGATCTGGTACAGGTACGTCATGACGGTCAGCTTGTCAGGGATGGCCAACAGCACCATGTCCGAAGGCTCCAGCAGCCGAGAGATGCCGAGGCGGGCGAAGCCGTCGTACGCCTTCGGGGGAAAGCAGTGCAGTGTGTCAGAGCGGGCAGGTCTTCTTTACAGAGATGCCAGTTTATTTAATATGTGGAAAACGCTAAAACTGTCCAAGTCAGGGGATGCAGTGAGGGAGGTGGAGGGGTACACTGTATGCCTTTAATGCAAATATGGGAACCAAGTACAGTACCAGGAACAAGTCTGGGTGCACCTGTTTATAGTGCATTTGACTCTGTTAGCTATGCTATTCACCTTACAGTAAAAGGCCTCGAGGCAATGCATATCACGTATTGCAAGACCTAGAGAAGTGTTCAACATCTCAAAATTTTCTTAAATATTTTCAACATTGTCAATATAGCCCCCTTTTGTGTTAAGGACAGCATTGCAGATTTTTGGGATTCTTTCAACCAGCTTCCAGATGTAGCCACCTGGAATGCTTCTCCAGCAGCCCTGAAGGAGTTTCCACAAGTTCTGACCACAAGTTGGCTACCTTGTTCTTACTTTCCGATCCAACTCATCCCAAACCAGCTCTACAGGATTTAAGACGGGGGGGATTGGGGGGCCAGGTCATCTGTCACAGGACTCCATCTTTCCTTATTCACAAAATACAGTACGTACATAACCTCGAGCTGCTCTTGTTTTAAAACAAATGATTTGCAGTAAGTGTCCAGACTAGACTAGTACTCAACATCAACAAGGTCAGTGTTTTGTTTTCTTAGTGAGAACAGCTGCACGATGGATTGAGAGATCACACACCCAATACATCTTGGTCCTTTTACCTTATCCAGGACCATAAATATATACAGAAATAGGTGTTGGTGGGGGGCAGGGGTGGGACTTATAGGGTGTGTATGCTGGGCAGGTACAGTAAAGGGCCAAATGTGGGGAAGAGGGTAAGAGAATCACACACACAGAGCAACACCTGAGGGTTTCCAGCAGGACAATGGCAGGCAGCCACGGATGGCACCCCAAGATAAGGAAAAAGATGCAAAGAGACACCACTCTAATCCGTCCTGGGGCTTATCAACCCCCCCTCTCCCCCCCCAACACACACAAGACTGGTTACTTGTGCCGACGACAAACACCCACCAGCCAAGGAGCTGAATCTTAGATCAACTGATAACATTATCATTTTTAAATAAAGCCAAATGGGGAGGGACAACATCGCACAGAAACGTGGCTGCTGGCTCTCCGTCCGCGTCTCGGGCCCGTTTCTGTATCGCGGCTCGCATCTACGGCGAGGCGCCTGATTCCGGCGGGGCCGCCAACACTGCAGCCATTGTCTGCGGTGGCTGACATTTCCGATAGGCGGGGTTATCAGCTCCTCTNCAGGGAGGACAAGGCATCGTTGCGTGCAGTGCTCCCCCCGGAGGAATTCCGCAGGAAGGCGAGACAAACGCGGGCAGCTCCGACCACCTTCACCCCCCCCCCCCCCCCCCTAAATAACATTTAATTTCACTCAACTGAATTTCAAACACTCAGAAAGAACAACTGGGTTTATCAAAGCGACTTATACAACTTTACATAACGTTCAGCCTGCTGGTCCACAGGCCTGGAACGGATCTGCACGGCGCCGGGCCGCGTGCCCGTACCCCTCAACGTCGAGCACGGCGGCTACCCCAGGTGGCCCCCGCCTTCCTGGCGAGGATAAAAGCGGCCGCCGGCTTCTGCGGGGCTAATTACGCGGGATTACCGGTGCAGGTGCCATTAAAGCAATTAGACAAGACAGCGCACTTCAGAGCCGTGAAGGCGCTCGGGGCCGACGCCACGCAGCAGCGCCGAGGACGCCGGAGGCTTTAACCCCTTCCTGGCAAGGGCACCAGCAGAGCTTCTGCTCTGCCCAAACTGGTCAGCCATGACCCCCCCCGAGTGCACCACTGTTTTGTCAACCCAATTAACCGCTGCAATATCCTGTAATGGGTGTCTGATCCAAGCAGAGCTGGTAATAATGCTGCATCTTCGACTAATTATTATTTTAATTACAGTGATTACATCCCTCAGATTGCAGATTGATGTGTTTTGAGTCAATACGGTGTCGGCGTAGCGACCGTTTGGCGGGGGGGGGGGGGGGGGGGGGGGGGGGGGGGGTTGTATACGTGTGTGTATTGGGGGAAGGAGGAGTGGGTGGACGGATAATCGAGTTAAGCCGTTTCTCAATTTACAATTAATTACAACTCCCCCCCCCTTTCATTCTCCCTTCTCAGTTTTCTCCCCCCCCCTTAACTCTGTTCGTTTTTGGCATGCGTCTGAAGGTTCTACAATGGCCACTGCAGCACAGGCCTTTACACCGGGGTGAACGGCAGAGCGAGGATGGAAGAGGTGTTGGCGTGGAGAGAAGAGGCTGCTTTTACACTGAGTCATTTAAAGTTTTCGCTGGTGACCCCCCCCCCCACCACCACAGATCCCCCCTCCTCCTCAGGAAAGGAGGCCAAAAGAAAAGAGGGGGTAGGAGCCCTGATTGAATTTCTGACATATTCAACGGACAAGAGTGTGTTTTTATTGTCCTGTTCCCTGTGAGTGCAACTCCAGAAGCAGGGGAATGGAGAGCTACCATCTCAGTGCAGGCTGGGGGGGTCATTTAGATTTTATGTTCTTAGAAGCTGGTGAGGCATACCATTTTTTGGGAGAGGGAGGGGAAAAAAACAAACAAAAAAATGACACACTGTCCGCCCCCCCCCCCCAAGTTCTCTGAATATTTGTCACAGCACAGAGAGTATCAACTGTCAGATGCTGTCACTCAAGGCCAGCTGTCCAGTCGTGTGTCAAGCGTTTTCCAATTACATGCCACACTGGGGACTGGTGTCACAGGAAATGACATCACCCTCTGCTCGTCACACGCAGAGGCACAAACAAGGCTCCTAGATTATCCAGCCTTAGTCTATATTTACTCTGTATGGGGAATTTAGAGAATTAGGGAAATTTTTTATAGTGAGAAAGAGGGGCTGGAGTGGGTGTAGGGGTGGGTGTAGGGAAACGCAGGTGGCTGAGCCCTTTCCTTAGGTGGTCACCTGAGACCAGGTGCTCCGTAGGCTCTACACACAGCCGTCCAAGAGGGGCGGGGAGAGGGAGGAAGGACCATCATTCACGGCTGAGTGCCGCTTTAATTGGGGGGGTGGGGGGCGGTGACGGCATCGCGGGACGCTCCACGCCTGGCAGGGCACCGCGCTCAGCCATTGTGCCCCAACACAAGGGCTGTGGGGGCCATGGCGGGTGTCGTGTGAAGGCAGGAAGCGGCTTGCAGGAAGCAGCCCACGCATTCACACAGCTGGGGAGGGGGGGGGACCAGTGAATGACAGGCTCAGGGAAAGGTGCAACTCAAGGGGGGGGGCTTTTATAATAAACAATGACGGCCATTTCTGAGGGGGGGGGCGGAAGGGAACATGGGGGCAATAAGTGATACACTTGAGATTTGACACAAAGGGAAAAAGGGGGGGGGGCACAAAATGTGCATTAGTGGCAACAGTTTTATTAAATGGTGGACAGAGAGGCAGGCTTCTGTGTCCACGTGGACACACACACTCATATATTCCTATCATTGTGGGGACTCGCCATTCATTTCTATGGGGATAACATCGATCCTAGCTAGGATAACCCTAATCATTTCTGAGCCTTAACCATATGCAACCAAAGATTTTTGTTTAGGGACAGAGTCTAAACAAGACAACGGATCTTCATCCAAGGGATTAGAGGTTTAAAAAAAAAAAAAAAGCACAAGGCGCTGAGACAGGGACTAACCTTTTTGTTATTTTCCTTAATGTCCTGCGGATTCAGGTTCTTGTAGTCACTGAGAGGGAGGGAAGAGGGAAAAAAAAGGAAAAGAAGAAGAACACAACAGCAGAGTCACCGATTGCTCAATATAAGCTAACAGGCAGCGTTGACGTCCGATAGCCATATGAGGACACAAACTGGCTGAGCCCACGGCACAGAAAACCGGGGACAAATCTTCAGGGCGGCCAGGGGCCACAGGAGCACTAACCCCCACACCCGTCACCAGCACCCCCCCAAACTGAACACAAACCACCCCACAAAACGTGCACGAGAGGACGTCAACAGGCGTACACCAGACACCTCCACATAAAACCAGCTTCACCACAAGGTAAAATCCCCTGCTGTCAGCACAGAAAGACCAACAGGCTGACGCGGCCCGTCGCATTTCAGCATACAGTTCCAATAATCTTCCTGCGTACCGCCGTTCCGGTCCGTTTAGAGGGAGAAGGATAATCAGAAATGATCGTGTGATAGGAGGCACCTGGAGGAATGTGGGGGGAGAACGCGGCGGGGCAGACACACACAGCGACATTTTGGGGACTCACATGAGGTCGGGCCGGAAATGGTGCAGCAGGGCGCAGAAGGCCAGGCCGTTCCTCCAGGACGTGGTGAAGTTGGTGATCTTCACTCCACGGTAGTTGCGGGTCACCTCCCTGCACCAGGCCAGCAGGGACTGGCTGGCATTGGGCTTTCCACCCAGAATGGGGCTGGGGATGGGACTTGGCTGGGAGACGGGGAGGAAGGAGACAGGTTAGATGCAGGGTGCAGGAGAGCAGGGAAGCAGGGAACTTAAACACAAAATCAGCGGTAATGTTGATAGCACAAGGTGTGGACAGATTCATATATTTCATCTGTTCAAATGCAACTCTTACATATATAAATCAGACAAACAACGCCCCCCTTTGGCCACCTCAGTAAAAGACAGGTGACAGCAGCAGGCTAAGAGAGAGCAGCTGCACAGTCCCTGTGACAGATCAAAGGCACAGGGAGGACAAGGCATCGTTGCGTGCAGTGCTCCCCCCGGAGGAATTCCGCAGGAAGGCGAGACAAACGCGGGCAGCTCCGACC